TAGAGATTAGAAACCTAGGCACAGAGAAGCTCATTAAATTGTTGCGGGTTACAGACATGACAGGAGGGGCCCTGAATGCAGACCTGGGATACCAGAAAGAGATCCTGAAACTGATGATGGCTTCTGAGACCTACTGAATGAGTTGGAAACCTGGAGGCTGGATAGTACAAGAGCACCCAGGGCAGGGAGTAGAGAGGGAAGAGAGAGGAGGGAGGAGCAGACGCAGGCGATGTGGCGGTTGGGGGAGAACCCCACCCCGTTTAAGCTCAGGTACATGGGATCTGCTGAAGATCATGAGCAAACGTATTTGCTGAATACATAAGTGACTAAGTGAAAGCTTTCAGTATCTGGACCTTGTGCTGAGTAGGAGGCAGCAACAATCCACCACCAGGGTGGGCAGGATTGCCGAAGGCGAGCCCAATTCTAGGCCATCAGGTGTGCAAACCCCACTGAAGGACTGCGGAAAACACGGAAAGGAACTCTGTCAGACTCCGGGCCTCCAAATGAGTACCAGGCAGCAAAGTAAAAAAAAAAAAAAAAAAGAATCTCCAGAAAGGCTGTTACATCCATCTAAAGAAAGGAAAACCAGGCTTAGCAAACCATGGTCACCCCACGCTGAGAGAGTATAGTGGGACCCAATGGATGGAAACTACTGGAAGGCTGATTTAGACTTGATCGAACAGTGTCTTCCGGGGGGTTAGCAGTGCCAAAGTAGATACCATTGAACTAGAGTGTGTGAATGGCAAGGAGGTGTTCATCCCTGAAGCAGGGGAAGACGGAATATTTTCCCCATTGGAGAAGTCAGCAACCATATCTCCACTATGGAGGAATCCAAGAACGGTCCGGCTTGGAGGGCACAATCCACATGGTTCTGCATGACCTGCCACAGCTCCACATCCATGGGGACTAGCCAGGGCCTGGGCAGCTGCTGGGCTCTCTTCTGATGCAGACAGTGTCTTGCTCTGTCACCCAGGCTGGAGTGCAGTGGCACAATCATAGCTCACTGCAGCCTCAGACTCCTTCAAGGGATCCTCCCCCACTCTGCCTCCCAAAGCATGAGGAATAGAGACATGAGCCATTACTCTCAGCCATTGAAAACTTCATCTCCTTTAACACCTCCAATAATTTCAGGACAGACCAGATAATGGTTCTTCCTATCTATTGCTTCAAGTTTCATTCTCATTTTAAATGATTTAAGGTTGGCTTCTGTGATTCTTTCTTAAAGTAATGTTAAAGGTGTGACTTCAGTTTCATTTAGAGTTCATAAGAACACTGCCAAGATGACACATTCATCTGGAACCCCAGGAGAGAGGGAAATAAAGCACTGCTTTTTCTCCCAAATGTCCCAAAAGGTTGTGTGCCCTAGGTCCAAGGGACCTGCAAGCCTCCTAAATAAATTTCCATTGTCCCTCCCAGCTGGTGTGAATTGTAATCTGGTACCTGTATCTCAGGAACTATTATAACAAACATTAAAGAAACACCGTAAAGCTAATAAGCTGTTACCAACTGTGAAGTCATTAGCTAGAGGAATCTTGGATTGTCCAAAAGACTGAAAAAGCCCAGGAAGATCCCATCTCTTCCTCATAATTGTTCCACTGGAAATTGTCATTTTTCACAGGAGACTTTTTTTTTTTTGGCGGGGGGGGAGACACGGTCTGGCTCTCTGTCACCAAAGCTGGAGTGCAATGACACCATCACAGCTCACTGCACCCTCGACTTCCCATACTCAGGTGATTGTCCTACCTTAGCCTCCTGAGTAGTTGGGAATACAAGAAAATACCACCACGCCTAGCTAACTTTTTCTTTTATTTATGTATTTTGAGATAGGGTCTTACGCTGTTGCCCATGCTGGAGTGCAGTGGTGTGATTATGGCTCACTGCAGTCTCCAACTCCCGGGCTGAATCTGTGCTCCTACCTCATCCTCCCAAAGTGCTGGCATTACAAGCATGAGCCACCATACTTTGCCTTAATTTTTAAAAATTATTTGTAGAGATGGGGGTCTCTCTACATTGCCCAGGCTGGTCTTGAATTCCTGGGCTCACGCAATCCTCCTGACTCAGCCTCCCAAAGTGCTGGGATTACGTGCGTGCATGAGCCATCATGCCCTGCCTTAATTTTACAAAATTATCTGTAGAGACAGGGTCTCCCTCTGTTGCCCAGGTTGGCCTTGAACTCCTGGGCTCAAACTATCCTCCTGCCTCAGCCTCCCAAAGTGCTGGGATTACAGGCATGAGCCACTATACCCAGCCTAACAGGAGACATACTTTTAATTTTTTTTGAGACAGGGCCTCACTCTATCATACAGGCTGGAGTAAATTAACATGATCTCAGTTCACTGCAACCTCTACCTCCTGGGCTCAAGCAGTTCTCATGCCTCAGCCTCCCAAGTAGCTGGGACTACAGGTGTGCACCACCATGCCCAGCTAAGTTTTGTACTATCTGTGGAGACGGAGTTTCACTATGTTGCATAGGCTGCTCCGGAATGCCTGAGCTCAAGCAATCTGCCTGCCTTGGCTTCCCAAAGTGCTGGGATTGCAGGAGTGAGCCACCATGTCCAGCCCCCACGAGACACTCTTGATTGTCCTTCTTGATAGTCTACGATCTTTTTTTTTTTTTTTTTTTTTTTTAAGACAAGGTCTTGCTCCATCACCCAGGCTGGGAATGCAGTATCTGATCATAGCTCACTGCAGCCTTGAACTCCTGGGCCCAAGGGATCCTCCTGCCTCAGCCTCCTGAGTAGCTGGGACTATAGGTGCATGCCACCATGCCCAGATAATTTTTTTTAATTTTTTATAGAGATGGGGGTCTCACTATGTTGCCCAGGGTGGTCTTGAACTCCTGGCCTCAAATGATCCTCTGCCTCAACCTCCCAAAGTGCTGGTATTGCGAGCATAAGCCACTGTGCCTGACTAGAAGTCTTAGCATTTTCCCCAGGGTCTCCCTTTCTGGTGTTCTTTTCTCAGGTAATGGCAGGCACTGAAAATGATCCTCATCCCAGGCTCCAGTAGGTGTGGGGATTCAGGACTGCATTTCAGAGCCCAAGTACAGAGCCCAGGACTAAACTGTGAGTTTTTTTTTTTTTTTAAAGCTTTACTAAGGTATAATTGACATACAATAAACTTGCATATTTAAAGAGTATTAAAAAAAAAACCAGGCTTGCCTTGGACAATGAGTGAATAAATAAAAGTGCGTTTGCTTTAGTTCTCTATAGATCTACTATTTTTTAAAATAAGACATGGGGTCCCGCTATGTTGCCCAGTCTGGCCTCAAACTCCTGGGCTCAAAAACCCCTCTTGCTACAGCCTTCTGAGTCACCAGCACTACAGGCAGACGTCAGCACACCAGCTCGCCCTCTCATTAAGACACGGGGAGGGACTTTTTCTTAATGGCTTTCAGTACCATAGTGTTTAATTTCTAAGAGCTTAAAAAAATAAATTAGCTAACATTTCAATGGATTTTAAGCGGGGAGAATAAGCATGTCTTCAGCTACCCATCTGAAACTAACATGCCTCTTGAAATACATTACGTCCCTCTCCTCACTGGAGAATTTTCCTACTCTGAATTTCCTACTGAAATTTTCAATAATTTCATGAACCTACCAGTGGAGTAACAATTCAATCTATTGTGCTGGAACATGTTATTATGATCATTGTATTCCTAAGAAAGTATCTATACTCATTATGAAATTAATTGATTCGTTGGCCGGAGGGCGAGTTCAAGGGATAGAGCATTTCAAACTAGCAACAGAATTTCTCCAGCATTCCTGGACAAATCTAGCATTTCATCATATCTGGATATTGTTCAACAAGGAAATTGATCTTTTCGTATTATCAGGAGCACTCTTATTAATGAGAACATTTTATACATGCACATTCCTTTGCCACCCACAACTCTGAACGCAGAACAGAAAAACACCCACTAAGTATGTTCAAAAGGTGCCCTGAACACCCAGCAAGGTGCTGGCTCCTTGTGGGTGGGTGAAGTGGCTCAGAGTGAGAGCCTGCAGCAAGTATGCAGGGAGTCAAAGCCCAGTTCACCACCTAAGAGCTGGGGACCTATGGGCAGACTACTTAACGTATCTGTCTCTATTCTCTTTCATGTAAAAACGGAAATATTAAGAATATCTAACTTACAGAATTGGAAAGATTAAAAGAGATAAGCAAAATGCTAATATCTAGAAAGGTCAAAAAATGTGTTTTTAGGGGGGTATTTTTTTGTTTTCTGTTTCTTGTTTTTTTGAGACAGATTCTCACTCTGTCACCCAGGCTGGAGTGCAGTGGCGTGATCTTGGCTCATTGCAACCTCTGCCTCCCAGGTTCAAGAGATTCTCCTGCCTCAACCTCTCGAGTCGCTGGGATTACAGGGGCGTACCACCATGCCTGGCTAATTTTTATATTTTGAGTAGAGACAGGGTTTCACCATGTTAGGCAGGATGGTCTCGAACTCCTGATCGCAGGTGATCCACCCTCCTCAGCCTCCCAAAGTGCTGGGATTACAGCCGTGAGCCACCATGCTGGCCTTTTTGGTTGTTTTAAAAGACAGGGTCTTGCTCTGTTGCCCAGGCTGGAGTGTGTGTCATGGTATAATCACAGCTCACTGCAGCCTTGAACTTGTGGGCAATCCTCTAGCCTCAGTCTCCTGAAAAGCTGGGTCTACAGATACATGCCACCATTCCCGGCTAATTTATTATTATTTTTTGTAGAGACAAGGTCTCACTACATTGCCCAGGCTGGTCTTGAACTCTTGGCCTCAAGCGATCCTCCTGCTTCAACCTCCCCAAGTGCGGGGATTACAGGTATGAGTCACCATGCTCAGCCTTTCCTGTTTTCTCATCTATAAAAGGAATAACACAGCACTGATTTCAAAGGGTTGGCCAGGTATTAAATAAAATCAAGCAGTGAAGTGGCTCACACCTATGATCCCTTTGAGAGGCTGAGGCGGGTAGATCTCTTGAGGTCAGGAGTTTGAGACCAGCCTGGCCAACACAGTGAGACCCCATCTCTATTTAATAAAAAAAAATAAATCAACATTAAAAAAATAAAATTAAATGAGTCAATACACAACTTGGACTGGTGCAAGGTGCCCAGTACACACCCAGATGCGTATTCTCTGTCATTAGCACTTGGACTGGTGCAAGGCGCCCGGTACACACCCAGACACATATTCTCTATCATTATCACAATTATTTCTTTGGCAGATCCCTCTGGCTGCAGTGTGGAATATGTGGGGGAAAGACATGCTGCCGGGTAGGGAAGCCAAGGGGGAGAATCTGAAGAGTCCCAACAATACGAGATCCAAGTGAGATGGAGGAGGGCCCACACCAAACAGTGGGTAGGTAGAGAAGGGCGCAGAGAGCCACTGCAAACAAGAAAGGAACAGGACTCGGTGACTTGGGGGTGGACAGGAAGTGAGGGGGAGGAGCTGGGGATGACCACCAGGTTTCTGCCTTGAGGGGCTGGCTGGACTATAGGTGTTTTTCCTCACTGAGAGAAACACTGGAGGATATGAAGGTACAATGAGATCAGCTCTGGAAATGCTGGGTGAAGGGACCTGCTGAACACTCAGGTGGAGATATCCAGTTTGCTTTTTTCTAGATGGTTCTGAAGCACAGAAAAGGCATCTGGACCAGAAACGAAGAGCCTGCTGTGAGGACCAGCAGCAAACACGGATCTGGGGGAGTTCATGCAGAAGCAGACCCTGCAGAGAAGACGGAGGCTGAGGATGGAGGCCCCGGGACACAGTGGAAGGAGAGCCAGGGCAGGAGACAGGAAAGGAGTCCCTAAGGAGGGCAGGGAAGGAGCCAGGAGCGAGGTGCAGGCGAAGCACGGATGAGGGACCGGCTGAGGATGCAAACTGGGCCCTGGGCACAGGGACAGCAGGGACAGGAGAGTGAAAGGAGAGGGCCCCGGGAAGCCAAGACGCACAGCATGGATGACAGAGGAAGAGGCAAAGCCCCAGAAGGAAGGGGAGAGCTGAGAGAAGCCTGACCATCATGAGCAGCCAAGAAGAAACACACAGCAGGGGGAGGGAGGCGAAAGGTGCGCGGCACAGAGGGGAAGGTGGCAAGGCCGTGCCCAGGACAGTGGCACAGGTGGCAGGGCCTTGGACAGAGGGTGGGGTCCAGGCAGGTGGGTGGTGACGGCAACCATGACCACGGGTCAGCCTGGGCCTCAGACCCTGGGGAAAGGTGGCCATGTCCAGTTTTCTCTGGAAATTAGGAGGTAGGTCATCCAAGGAGAGAGGGTGGGTGTCTGGGGTAGGGTGGAGTAGGTTTCAGAAAAGTGAAAGTCTGGCAAAAGCACTCAGGAAACGGGACAGAAAACGGAGCCAAGCGCGGGACGGCAGCGTTCATTCAGCCCAGCTGAGCTTGGAGGCCATGAAGTGCTGGCAGCCCCACACTGCGTGACCGCAGGATCTTTCTGGGCCACGCCCCGCATCCCGGGTGTGGAAGTGAAGGACCCAAAAAGAGGAACGAATCAGGATGCTATTCCGCAGAACAGGTGAAAGAAAAACGCCAGGTAGACAGAGCCTTGGAAGTCAAACAGTCACCCACATGCCTGACCCAGTCAGAGAAGAAGGGGGACCAAGCCAGGGTGGGAGGGACTGTGTGGGAAAGGAGAGACCGTGGGCAGAGGGTGGACAAGGGACCAAGGTGAAGGCCTTTGAGGTGCTTCTTAAACCACAGTGGCGAATGTCTTTCTGGACAAGAACGTCAGTGGACATTCTCACCCGCAGCGCAGGGCACAGCTCCCATCCGCACTCATCTCATTGTCTCCAACTCTGCCAATTTCATGAGTAAAAAGTGGAGCTGAGAAGCTTTGCATTTCTTCAATGACTTCGAATTTTTTACAATCGTCTCACAGATTTCCTGGTCATCGGTATTTCATCTGAGAAGTTTCTGTCTGTAATATCTGCTCATTAGAGAGTTCTTAAAATTATTAAAGAGTGTTATACATTCAGTATATTAACTGGTTGCTCTCAGTTTTTTCCAGTAAGTCATTCACCATAAATTTAACTTTGATATCATAATAAAACAGACAGAAGTGTAGTTATTATGTGCTTAAATCTACAGGGGCTTATTTTACAAAGTTCTTTTTAGAGACAGGGTTTTGCCCTGTCGACCAGGCTACAGTGCAGTGGCACGATCTTGGCTCACTTCAGCCTCTGCCTCTTGGGTTCAAGCCATCCTCCTGCTTCAACTTCCTGAGCAGCTGGGACTACAGGTGAAAATATCACAATTATTTGTTAGAGAGAGAGTGAGACAGAGAATGAATCATTGTAAAACAATGAAAAGGTGAAGAACTTCTGTTACCTGTGTAAGTAACATCCATATCAACCCTCACTTGAAGCTCCTCACCTCTTCCCTTGCTCTTTTCTTCAGCCCAAACATGGTGTTCAATGTTCTTCCCAAGTCACCGCCCAAGGCCGCTGTCTTAGCCCCGCCGTCATCCACTCTCTGAGCCTACTGCAGTAGCTTCCTACCTGGGTTCCCTTTCCCTTCCTCCCCGGTCCTGACTCCACCGGCTGCCAGCTGACTTCCCACAGCACCAACTTTCTCAGCCTTCTGCCTATGAGAACTCCCCAAATTCTACCATGGGAGTCCTCAAACCATGATCCTCCGAAAAGCGTGAACAGCAGCTTTTCGAACCATGGACTTCCACAGATGACAACAGAAGGCAATCACCACCGCCTGTCCCTGGAAGTGGACGCTCCGGGTCATGGGTGGCCATGTATCTCGGTCCTGCTATCCTGGGTGGTTGGAGGAATCCTGGCAGTGAGAGTTGAAAACCGCCGGGCGCGCGGCAAGAGAGGATGAAGCCCGAGTCTGACCTTGGAAGGGAGCTGCTCCCCGGTGCAGCGGACCCCAGGGCTGGCGGGGAGGCTGCCTCGGTCTGCCCAGCTGGTCTCGGGCCACCGGGCCTCAGCCCGGAGCCTGCCGCCCGCTGGCCCCAGAGGAGGTGTCCTGCCCCCTCAGGCACTCGCCTTCAGGGCTTGGTCGGCCAGCTGCTTTACGCGCGCGGGCTGGGGTCCCCAACGGCGGACGCGCGCCGCTCCCACCGCTCCAGCGCCCAGACTGTAGCGGCTCCGCCTCCGCGGTCCGTTGGCCCCGCCCCCACGTCACTTCTGGGGCCCCCCCCACCCCCTTCGTGACCTCCCAGCACAGCCTCCCAGTGTGGCCTGGAGCCCGAGGCCGAGGGCGCAGAGACCGCGGCGACGCCCGTTCTTGCCCCGTCACTACCTGCGGCGCCGCCCGCCCGCTGGTAAACTGTGCCCGGGAGACCCTTGAAATAAAACGTATTAGCCAAAACTAGAAAAGCAAAATATGTACCATGTTTCAATTTAATGGGATTGCCAGGTGTTTTAAGGGTCCGCCGCAAAGGTCCCTCAAGTCCCGGGGTTTTTGTCCCCATCAGATCATTCGTGGTGTGGATCTTCCGGGAGGTTATGGGAGAGGCAGACCAGCAGCCTGCTCCGTGGGCGGCCATACTCCTCCCCCAGGAAGGCCAGGCAAATCTCCCCAGTGCTGGGATCCCCCCAAGTACGTTAATTTTGTCTAGGGTCCAGGTGGGGCCATCCAGGCCCTAGCCCACAGGATTGGTTCTTTGGCATGCAGATAAGCAACAGCGCCAAGCAAAGCCCAGGGGTGTGTAGGCTGTTAGGAGACCACCAGGGAGCCATTCCTAAATCTTCCCGGGTCATGGTTCAAAAAAGCCTGGTGTTTGTTGAAAGGAAAAAGGGTTGTCCCCAGGACTATGCTGGGGCACACTTTCCCCAACGGTGTCTGCCTGGCTGTCCCAAGCAGCCAGAGATGGAGCGATGGTCATGAGGCTAGACCAAAGATACCGAGCCTCATCCCAGTGGAACTCAAGCACCCACCCGTTAGGATGTCCTGGTGCAGCTGCCCCCAGGTGGGAGCCCGGGAAACCACCTGGCCGACACAGGCCACACCTGTTGGGACCTCACAAGGAGACACTGTCCATTAACGTTCGTCAGGGTGGGAAGAAGTGGCAACACCTACTGAGGCAACAAAACTCATTAGCTGAAGGGCGAGCTGGCCAGCAACTGGCAGTGATGTTCTCAACAGTCCTTGCCGCCTCATAAAACCAGCTACTTGGGCCAGGCGCGGTGGCTTACTCCTGTAATCCCAGTACTTTGGGAGGCCGAAGCGGGTGGATCACAAGGTCAGGAGTTCAAGACCAACCTGGCCAGTATGGTGAAACCCCGTCTCTACTACAGGAGAATCGCTTGAACCCGGGAGGCGGAGGTTGCAGTGAGCCGAGATCGGGCCACTGCACTCCAGCCTGGGCTACACAGCAAGACTCTGTCTCTAAATAAATAAATAAATAGACCAGCTGCTTAGTAAAAGAGCAGCTAGTTAAAGCTAACCAGGGGTCCTCAATCAAGGATGCGCCATACTGTTTGTGATGTCAATTGTTTTATTCACAGATTTATTTATTTATTTATTTTGAGACAGAGTCTGGCTCTGTCACCCAGGCTGGAGTGCAGTGGCGCGATCTCGGCTCACTGCAAGCTCCGCCTCCCGGGTTGACGCCATTCTCCTTTCTCAGCCTCCCGAGTACGTGGGACTACAGGCGCCTGCAACCACGCCTGGCTAATTTTTTGTATTTTTAGTAGAGACTGGGTTTCACATGTTAGCCAGGACGGTCTCAATCTCCTGACCTCGTGATCCGCCCGCCTCAGCCTCCCAAAGTGCTGGGATTACAGGCGTGAGCCACTGGGCCCAGCCTTATTGACAGACTATTTACTCCATTGATGAAAGGGGGATTCCTTCCCCCCACCTTCCTGTCCCCACTCCTGTCCCCGCCCCAGAGATATGGGGATGGCCAAACACACAACACTTGATGCAGGACAGATGCAATCAACAGCAGCTGACTGGTCACAGATACTCCAGTCCCGGGGAGAAGGACCCGCACACCATGCGGGGCAATGTGGAGGCTGCACTCCGGAACACGGTAACAAGGAGGGGCTGCTGCAGGCAGGCTTTGTAGTAACAGAAGTGCAGAGTGAGCCCTGGTTCCCACGGGAGGGTGTGACTGGCTTGTCTGAATAATTTGTCCTTGAGCTGGCAGGGAACTGACACCTACTGTCTGGGGATAAGCAAGCACTGTGTCTGATCCCTAAAATAAGGAGAAGGTTTAGCCAGAGAATTTCATCTGCGGAAGCAGACAGGGAGTGGGGCTTGGAGTTCAGTCATTCGAGGCCCTCTTGATTTAAATAGATGTCAAGACAGAATTTGATATGAATTCTAATTTCAGGCCTTATACCACAATATTAAAAAGTAAGATTTCCTAGAACTAATCGTTAAGTGTCACAAGATTTTTAATAAACATTCTAAACTCAACTGTGGCATAGTGGTTCATGCCTGTAATCTCAGCACGTTGGGAGACCAAGGTGGGAGGATTGCTTGAGCCAGGGGTTCGAGACCAGCCTGGGTAAGATGGTAATCCCCTACCTCTACAAAAATAAATAAATAAATAAATTAGCCAGGCATGGTGAATCAGAGCCTGTGGCCCCAGTTACATGGGAGGCTGAGGTGGGAGGACCACTCGAGATTAGGAGGTCAAGTCTGCATTGAGCCATATTCATGCTGCTGCACTCCAGCCTGGATGACAGAGTGAGACCCCGTCTCAAAAAATAAATAAAAAAGATAATTTCACCTATTGCTTAACATAGAAAATGGGAGCCCTCAGAATGAGACTCCCTTAACTTCCCCCAAGAAACTTAACCATCTTTTTTTACTGTTACAGTTACGAATGTCCTCCAATAAAGACCACCAGAAACACTCTGTAGTTAAGCAAGTTGGGTTTATGACTTGTTGCAAGGAGGGAAGGCTCACACCGTGAGGGGCATATCAGTAGGAGGATGTTAGACCTTTAGGATCTGGGCTTTGGCTGGGCGATTTGGGGGAGGGTCCAGGGGTTTGTTCTGGATTGAGTGCTGATAGGAGGTGGGAAAATTCTATCATCTGGTAGCTGTATCTTTTCTAGAAGGAGGTTTGGCTGGAGTAGGGCTAAAGCTGTAATGTGTAAAGAAGCCACAGTCACTTCTATCCAGCTGGGAGAAGGGAATGTCTGGTATTCTGTGGGTGGCACGCTGACCTTGCTTTTGTCTGTTTTTACACAGAATGATGACGTGGTCTTGTGTCATCTCCTGTCATCAGTGATGCAGAGTGCCCTTATGTGAGTGGTCTGCACGATTGTTTATGTCCAACAGCAGAGCCACATGGCCTTGCTGTGGGTGCCATCCAGTTTCCAACAACATAGGGCCTGGCTCACAGCACCAGGCCAGCTCCTAGAGGCCAGTTTTCTTTTCTTTTTTTCACAGTGGAGGAGGTGAGTCTTAAAGAGATCAACAAAGGTTTGCCTGGAAGAAGACAACAGCATAAGCAGAGGCATGGAGATTGCAGCAGAACTTTGTGTTAGGTGAACCTGACACAGGGTGGGGAGTGGGTACCAGGAGACAGTTCCGGACAGGTTGTCACACAATGAATCATGGAAGGTCACAAGGAGTACAAGTTTTATCCTGAGGGATTTTAAGTGAGGAAGTGACATGATCTAGGTTTGCATTTTAGAAAAATCCCCAGCAGCAGTGTGGGAAAAGGGTTGGTGACAAAGAGGAAGCCTCTTTTTCTTTCCCCACCCACAGCCCCTGCACCTGCTGTCCTTACTCCTCTGATCTCTTGCAACACATCCTTATTCTACCTTCAGCCAGGGTGATTTTTCAGAATCACAGATCTTTTCCTGTAACTTCCTTAAAACCTTTTGATTCCCAATAAATACAGTTAAAATCTGATCAGGGCGGTGCTCAGCTGTAATCCCACTTGGAGCGAGACGGGGATCACGAGTCGGAGATCGAACCATCTGTAACGGAAACCCCTCTACTAAAAAAAAAAAAAAAACTAGCGGAGGGGCGCTGTATCCAGCTATGGGAGTGAGCAGAATGCGTGACCTGGAGCGAGCTTGCAGTAGCTGAGATCTGGCACTGCACTCCAGCCTGGCGCAGAGCGAGACTCCGCTCAAAAAAAAAAAAAAAAAAAAAAAAAAAAAAAAAAAAAAAATCTGCACTTCATTGCCTGACATACAGACTGTACCTTTCATAATCTGATCCCTCTAGCCTGATATCTGGCTTTGCATTAGTCAATTCTTGCACTGCTAAAAAGAAATACCTGAGACTCGGTAATTTATAAAGA